TTAGTACTTAACACATATTTCCTCGTATGATTAATTGCAGTACCATTTTGTCTGTGTGAGCCTTGTGTGTTCAACTAAGTTGTATGATCCCTTGATGGCAAGGACCTCACCTTACCTCTTATCCTACAGGCCCTTATGCATTTTGAATATTTTGGACCATCCTTGTGATTTCATTGGTGTAGGGCAGGGGTGGAGAACCTGCAGCCTCTAGGCTACATGTGCCCCTTCTATGTGGGGCCTTTTGACTAAATCAAAAAAGTTTTTACAGAACAAATCCTTTTATTAAGGAGATTTGTTTGGTGAAGTTTGGATTCAGTCAAAGGGCTGCAGGCAAGGCCACATGTAGCCTTGAGGCAGCAGGTTCCCCATCCCTGGTGTAGGGTCTCAGGGAGAAATTTTCTCTCTACTGATGAAGATTGGCACCATTTCTTCAATTTATAGTCTTACAGAGTTGCTTGGGGCACTAAGTCAAATGACTTTGTCAGGGTCACACAGCCAGCATGTGGCAGAGACAGGACTCTAACCCAGATCTTCCTGACTGTGAGGCCAGCTGTCTACACAGTAGATGATCAATTAGTCTTTGTCAACCAACTAATTAGATATACAATCTTTAGCTAGAGTAGAGAGAACAATCTCAATATTTACCCTGTTTCAAGCATTTGGGGGCTTTGATGGGATATGATGGTCGCGAATAGGGGCCTAGAAAGATCCCAGGAGGATGAGAAGTGGAGAATGTGCTGGACACACCCTGTGTGGTCATGAGACAGTGACACAATATCTTTGGGCCTTGTTTTTGTTCTCTGCAAAATGACAAAAGCAATAAATTAAGAAAGATTGCCACTCGCTGAGATAATTCCTCTTCTGACCCAGAGAGATTGGCTTGACAGAAATGGTGCTGGGAGTGAGAAAGGATTTTTGGCCAAGTTGGGAGCAAAACCCAAGCAGCCCTTCAGGCTACAGATGCATTATCACTGGGCCACGGGGATGATTTTCATAGGGAAGAGATTATTTGAACCTCTCTGTATACCATCGTTAGAAAGGGACTTCCTGATAATGAAATGGAAAATATTCTCACTCTTTCTTATTTCCATGATACAGATTTAGAGCTGGGAGAAATATTAGAGGTCAGTGGGTCCAACCTTCTGATTTACAGATGAGGAAACTGAGCTTCAGAGTGATTTTAAGTGATTTTCTTGGGTTCACACAGTTACTAAGTATCTAAAGTAGGATATGAACCCAAGGCTTCTATGTCCAGTGTCCTATTCTCTCTCCCTCCCTCTCTCTCTCCCTCTCCCTCTCTCTTTCTCTCTCTCTTACTGACTCTTTCTCCTCTTTCCTCTTTTACCCTTTTCCCTCAATCCCCTCCTCTTTCTCTGTCTCTGTGACTCTCTGTATTTCTGTCTGTGCCTCTGTCTTTCTCCCTCTTCCCCTTCCCCTTTTTGGTCTCTCTTCTTCCATATAATGTCCTCAAGAAAAAATGAGCTATAGGGCAGCTACATGGCTCAGTGGATAGAGTATGGGTCCTGCAGTCAGGAAGACCTGAATTCAAATCCAGCCTCAGACACTTACTAGCTGTGTGATCCTGGGCATGTCACTTAACCCCAATTGCCTCAAAAAAAAAAAAGGAAAAGAAAAGAAAAAAAAGCTATTAATTCCTTATTGTGGAAATTACCCTCAATATTTGCATATCTTTTTAAATCATTGAAAAGGAACTTATGATTTGGAGAGGCCAATTGCATAAGAGAGAGATAGAAAAAGGAAAAGAAATATAGATATTCAAGTAGAGACAAATACAGAAGAAATTAGGAAATAGAAGAATTAGGAAATAGAAAGACAAACAAAGAGATAGAAATGTTCCAGAGACAAGAAAGATGAAGATAGAGATGTTTAAGGATAGAAATAAATAGTGAGATACACACAGACTTAGAGAGACATAGATATAGAGATAAATACATAAATGAAAGAAATGAAAAGTGATATACACTCTACGCCACCCAGCTAATGGGTCCCATTTCCCTTCCCCTGATCTCTTATGTGAATTTGTGCATCTTGAAGTGATTCCTCAGCACCAGGATAACTGACTGCTAAGTTGCTCTGAGGTATATGGAATATTATAGTGTTCTTGTTTATATTTAGGCAATTGGTCTGATTCTTTGTGACCCTATTTGGGGTTTTCTTGACAAAGATACTGGAATGGTTTGCCATTTCCTTCTCCAGCTCATTTTACAGGTGAGGAACTGAGGCAAACATGGTCAAGTGACTAGCCGAAGGTCACACAACTAGTACATGTCTGAGGCTGGATTTGAACTCAGTTCCTCCTGACTCCAGGGCTGGCATTCTATTCACTGCATCACCTAGCTTCCATAAAGGTTATAGTAGGCATCCTCTAACTTGTGAGGGAGCAAACAGATTTACCCTCAGGGATCTCATTGTGACATGCATCCAGTATAAATATGCCCATACCCCTTGGCTTGGTCTGTGGGAATTGGCCCAACTGAAATAATTGCCAGCTGAAGCCATGAGAAGGTCAGAAATGCCATACTGACAAACATAGAAAAGTTATTGATCAGACCATGGTCTTAGTTGGTTGGTCTACTGCTACCAGGTTGAAATAGCAAAACAGAATGATAACAGGAAAATGATTGGCTCAGTGTCACTGAATGTGCAAGCCAGTTCAGCCAAACAGAACTACCAGGGTAGCCCACCAGTCACATGGAGTATTTGACAAAGCTGACCAACCGTTTCCCCAAAAGGATAACAACAACAATAATAATAGCAACAAACATTGATGTAGCACTTTAAAACTTGCATGTACGATCTCATCTGATCCTCACAACTGCTTGGTGAAGGAGGTGTTATTATTAGCCCCCATTTTACAGATGAGAAAAGCTGGAGCTGAGAGAGATTAAGAGATTTGCCCAGAGTCACACATCTCATTAAGTGACTGAAATGGTATTGGAACTCAGGTCTGCCCTAATGCCAAGACTCAGGCTCTTTTGACTATGCCCACCTAGCTGCAAATGATTTAGCTAGTTAACTTAGAGGGGGTAATCTAGTATGGACTCAGAAATACCTATGAAAGATGAGTCAGTCTCAGTGCTGATATGATGATGTTTCATCACAAGAAGGCTTTATGGAAGAAGTGGGCTCTGAAATGGACCTTGAAGGATGGGTAGGATTAGAACTAGACCAGAAATCCAAATGGACATGCTGTGGTATTGTAGTAAGGCTTCAGTGGAGTGGCCGAAGTACAGAAACGGGGGGGATGCAGAGTGTCTGGAGACGGTTCTAGGGGCTAATTTGGCTAGTGGGGTCCTGTTGGGAAGGTACTACTGTATCTGATCTGATCTTCTGGACTACTCTAAGTTTTGTTTCCCAAGGGAACTTTTCCAGTACCACTCCACAAAGAGTATTTATTAACCTCCTTTTCTTTGACTGGGTCCATCCATAGCCAGGTCTCTGGACAAAGCATGAGAATAAAAAGCATTTGGCCCCACTGTTATCCATAACCAGCTCTGCCAGGTAAATGAGCTCATAATTAGGCAATTAAACTAGTGAGAGGTATGTAAACAGAGGGAGAGGTCCAACCTGTTCTTGCGCCACTTCAGGAAGATAAAGATGTCCCCATAGCTTTCCAGTAAGTCCTAAGAGTCTCTAGACTAGCCAAGGAATATGAACGTTGGCAATAAACATTAACACATTGCTTAAGCTCTGCCTGGTCTTCTCCTTACCTCCTTCCCTCAAATTGCCCTGTTGTTCTAAGCTTACTATTTACACTTGAAAGAATGTCTTGGCTTATGCCATGGGTAGGTAAAAATGTACTTGGGGCCAAGATCTTTGAGCTTCCTGTATTTCATAGGTCAAGACTTTAACCTTTGGAAAGAACCAATGTTAAGTGCTTCTTATAGCACCACAAATGGCCCAAAGTCATGAACAGTCATAGGTAGGCTGAAGAGGTGGCCACGTTAGTTAGCATAGTCTCATTGATAATGACAGGACTCCCTCTCACCTGTTTGACCAATGTCTGAGTCCCTTTTCTAGGGGGGAAAAAGTTTTTCATTCCATATCAAGAAATCATAGTAACATAGATTGGAGCTGGAAAGGATCCTAGGGATCATCTAGTCCAGTCCTCTCATTTTATGGATAAGGAAACAGAGGCCCAGAGAGGTAAAGGAACTTGTCCAAAGTCACACAGGTAGTAAAATGGAAGAGCCAGGATTTGAACTGACTTTAAATCTGGCATTCTTTCTGCTGCACCATACTGCTAAGAATTCAACTACCCCAGGATAGTAACTTACATTCACATTTAGGGGTAGGTGGAGGGTAGACAAAGTCGTTTCTGAGAGCAGGCTTTGATAAGGGGATGAGGGAGCTGATAATATGAGGACAGGAGCAGGGAGCATCATGAAAAGAGAGAAAAGATGCAGAAATAGGGAGGCTGGGAGTGAAGCTGCCAAACTTGGTAGGCTTCAGAATTTTGCCAAGAGTGAGTCTTGCACATAGAAGGCCAGCAAGAAATACTTATTGAAAAGTTTCATAAAATGGATATTATTAAAAGAACACCAAAATTTTTTATTCACAATTTCTTAGTTTAGGGAATATGGGTGGAAATAGTGCTGGTCAGTAATTTCTTTTTATTCAGGTCTGTGATTTCATCTGTGATGTCAATCAGCAACTATCTGTAAATTACAGTCTTAGAAATTTGTCTGGAGGCACTGAGCAACTAAGTAACTTGTCTGTGATCACATAACTAATACATATTAGAAGAAGGCTTTTCATGTCCCAAGGTCAGCCCTCCATCCACTGAGACACTTTGCCACTTTAAAAAAAATAGTTTAATTTTTAATTGACAAAAATACATTTAATTTCCCTTTTATTTCCCACCCTACACAGAAAAAGAAAAAGAAAACAAAAACTCTTGTAACAAATATGCATAGTCAGGCAAAACAAATGATCACATTGGTCAGGTCCAAAAATAAATGTCTTATTCTGAACCCTAGGTCTATCACTTCTCCCTCAGGAGGTAGGTGGTATGCTTCATCATTGATACTCTGGAATTTTGATTGGTCATTGCATTCATCAGATTTCGTAAGTCTTTCAAAGTTGCTTGTCTTTACAATGTTGTCGTATAAATTGTTCTCCTGGTTTTCATTATTTTATCCTGCATCAGTTCATTCAAGTCTTCTCAGGTTTCTTTAAATCCATCTTTAATTCATTATATTTTCTTTGAACGAAAATTTTTATTTTATATCATGAACTTAACAAACACAAACATATAAATTCACAAATAAGAGAAAAGAGCAATATGAATGACACTTTAACAAAACTGCTCTGCATGTCTATATTCCTTTTTGAACTTTTTTCTTCTGTGTATTTTATAGTCTTTCAGTGATGCTCTTTTCATTTCTTCTTCTTTTTGGCATCAGCACATCAATTCCCTTCCCCTAATAGAAGTCCTCTCTTCCATTTATTCCTTTGGTTAATCTATCCTTCCCATCACCCCACACACTGAACATATTTTTAAAAATAAAAAATTCCCTTATAACAAATATCCTTGGTCCAGTGAAGCAAATTTCCATATTAGCCATTTCTGACAATGGATGGCTCTTTTTGCATTTTAAGTTCATCACTGGTTTGTCATGGTGGTGAGTGGTATCTTTTGTCTTCATTTGTTTAGACTCTCAGTTTATCATTTTGCTGATCAGAGTTCTTGTTTTTCAAAGCTGTTTTTCTCAGTTATATTGTCATTATATACACTGGTCTCCTCGTTCTGATCAGTTTGCTTTGTGTCAGTTCATGGAAGTCTTCTAGTTTCTGTAGAAAGTATCCATTTCACATTTCTTAATAGTACAATATACTCCATCACATTCATGTGTCATATTTCCATTCCCAAATGATGGGCAATTCTTTACCACCACAAAAGAGATTCTATAATATTTTTGTACATTTGGGCCCTTTTTTAAAAAATTAATTTAAACTACTTTACTTATTGCTGTTTTGTGAAGCACAGCAGAAAGAGTACTGGCCTGGGAATCAGAAGATCTAAGTTCCAGTTTTAACCATATATTCCTAGATAAATTACCTCGACCTCTCTGGGGATCAGATTCCTTATCTGCAAAATGGGGGAGCTGGACTAGCTGATACCAATTTTAATTTTCTATGATGGAGATTTCTACCTTCTAGTCTAAAAAGAGCTCTAAAAGAACATATAAAAAAAGCCTTAAATTCCTTTCAGGGAGCTGAATATTTATATATATGTGTATATGTATGTATACATACATGCATATGCACATATACATACACATATTCAATATATATGCACATACATGTGTGTGTGTGTGTGTGTGTGTGTGTGTGTGTGTGTGTATTACCAGTGTGCTTGGAGTACTACTTTTTTAATGTGTACTCCCAAACGTATAAATCCCAGTTAAATTACATTGGATTCCTTGTATAAGTTCCCTTCATCTGGAATATTGCAATGGATTCCTAATTGGTCTTATCCGATTTCCAATCCATCTTCCATAAGGCTGCCAAAGTGATTTTTCTAAAGGCTAGGTCTAACTATGTCAAATACTTATTCAATAAACTGTAGTGGCTTTCTATTACCTTTAGGAGCCAATCCGGATGTAAACTCCTCTGTTTGGCACTTAAAGCTCTTTATAACCTGGCACCTTCTTGTTCCAGTCTTCTTACACATTCCTTCCCTCCAGTCATCCTGGCCTGCTTGCTGGTCCTCACACTAGATACCACTTTTCCCATCTTCATGCCTTTTCTCTATCCTCCATGACTCCAGTGCTCTCCCTCGTCATCTCTGACTCTTAGAATTCCTGGCATCCTTCAAAGCTCACCTCAAACCAGCTTCTTCAAGAAGCCTATCCTAATACCTCAACTTTCCCAGCTGCTGGTACTTTCCCTCCTGAGGTTACCTTGTATATATTACATAGGTATGTTGTATACAGCTGTTTATGTACATGTGGTCTCCTCCTTTTACCTTTCTATTTGTACCTCCAGTGCTTAGCACAGTCAGAGGCACATAATAAACCTTTAATAAATGCTTATTGATCGATTAGCATAAGGCAGAGATCAGGCTTTTTCCTCTTGGAGCCCCCAGAGGGCACTGAAAAGGCAGGAGGTTAATTGTTACACAGACTTGTGGACTGATTGATTGATAGGCTGGTATTTCTGAAGAGCTTGTTCTCCAAAGGCAGTATTTCTCATGCTAATGAAATCCATTAGGACAAGTTCAGGGGCAAAGCTTGTTTGGCCAAAAAGTTCATTCAGATGAAACTTGGACATTAGTAGATGATCTACCGGGAGAAACCCGATCCTGCCTGCTGGGGAATGACTATTTCCATATTCTCTTCTGAGTTTAGCTAGCACCTGAGATTATTCTCTTTGTCTCCATGGGCAAGTTATGTAGCTTCTTCAAGCCTCAGTGGACTCATCTGGAGAAAAGGCCTGAGTTCTGGCCAGGTGTTACAAAGGACAAATACAAAGCTGTTGGCCCAAAAGTTATACTGAGGCTTATGCAATATGAGAACAAGAAAAAGCAATGAGGATATAAGACTGGTCTCTTCAGTATTAGTATAATTGTGCCCACATGACTAGTTCCTCCATCTTCCTACTTTTTCCCTACCCTCTCTTCTCCCCTCCTTTTTCCTCTTCTTTCCCCTCCCTCTATTTTCCCGCTCTCCTTCCCTCTCTTCTCCTCTCCTCTCCTCTTTTCCACTCACCATCCTTTCCTCTTACGACTCCTTTAAAAACCCAACTCAAATTCAACCTCTTGGACATCCATGAGATACTAAAAAAATACTTGCTGATTTGGTTTGCCCTTTTCTCATCTATCCATCCATTTATGTACTCTTCATTCATCAAAACATGCTTCCTTTCATCTATTAACCAATTTTTAGAGTGCATGTGTGTATATGCATGAATATGACAAAACACAAGTTTCTTCCCCTAGAAAATCCAAAATGCCAACCTCTAGATGAATGATCCCATGCAAGGAAGTAGATTGGGCCACAGAAGGTTGCTCCTAACATACATTCCTAAATAGGTCCATGTGGTAAATGGAAATTTCAGGTAGCTGTGAGCCACCTGAGTTCCCCTCCTCCAGACAGAGCCTTGAGGTGATCCCTGAGTCCTGGCAGAGCTCCCATTTTGATGGGGATGGGATCTGAACCTCTAAAAGGAAAAAAACATGTCTTTGGGATCTGGACCCCAAAAAGGAAAAGCCCTGGACTTTCCCACATAACTAAATCTCTGGCATTCACCTGAGGCTATAATCCTATCAACCGGCCTTTCATTATGGCCTATGCCCAATCTACCCTTAACTGAACCTAGTCCTCTACTTCCCACCCTTAATCCTATCTAGGCTTCATTCTCTCTTGGCCATGTGGTCCAGATCCCTGGACCTGACAGTCCCTGACAGTCACCCTAGCTTACTGGCCACTCCCATCCAGATCTTCCTTAGACCCCTCCTCCAGTAGTCACCTCAGACTACTTGGCCACTCCTAGATCCCTCCCACAGTCCTTGTGTATATAAGGTCCATCTGGCCTCCACTAAGGTGCTCAGATTCTTAAGATCTGGCCCACTTGCATTAGCAATACAAATGCTTAGAGTCCTTGAGAGTCTGACCAATATGGCAGATTTTTAAAATCTCACCCACCTCTGATCAATGTTCTAATAAACCTTGTCTTTGGCTGAAAGAAGACTTGGGTCAAATTCATTTGAGCAGGACCCACATGTTGTGATTTTGGGGTCCCAGTACCGCTAAACCTCTAACCTCAACAATGTCACCACAGATAATGACACAGAAAAATTAACAAAGAGCTTTATATTTATTGTCTCATTTGAGTCTTACTACGGTTCTGGAGAATAAGTATCCTAGATATAATTATTGGCATTTTACAGGTAAGGAAACTAAGGCTTAGAGAAATTAAATGACTTGCCTAAGGGGATTGAGTTTCTGGAAAAGTTATTTGAAACTCCATTTTCAAACCTCTTTTCATTCATTCTACTCTGTTTCTCAATGACCAGATGGACATTTCCATCACATTACAGAGGGTGCCCAACAACTTGTATAATACTTATCACATTCTTCTTGGTGTAATGGCAATAGGTGTATACATGCTTTATCTCCCTTACTAGGCAATAAATTCCATAAGGACAGGGACCATGCCATCCATAGGATCATAAAGTCATTGGATTTAGAAATAACAGGAACTTAAGTGGTCACCAAGTCCAAAACCTTCATTTTGTAGATGGGGAAAAATGAAGCATGGAGACATAAAGTGACTGGCCTACTGACTGCACTTATTGCAACGCTTTGCCCATGGTAGGTAATCAAAAATTTGTTTCTGAATTGAATTGAATATGATGGCTCTGGGTATGATGTATAAAAAGTTCCAGAGACATAATTTCTAGGTAGTCATTTTATTATGTATGCTGGTGAATAACTAATAAAAGGGAACAGTGGCATTTTTGAATGCCAAAGACTCCTCATGGAACCCACTTAATGCTTCATTGTTTGTCCTTTGTTCTCCAGGAGGACCATGACATCAGGAAGGTGATGGAAGGTGATGTTACGACTTACAGGTGAATTGGATTCAATGCTTATATGCCCTTGGAAGAGTGGGTGTTCCTGAGGGTGGCAATCAACTCTGATTGGTTAAGAATTAATGAGAAGTATGAATATTATAATGAGAAGCGGGTTTATTCTAATGAGAGGCTAGGCGACCTGACTCTGATCACTCAGTCTTGGACAAAAAGATTTATCTCTTATCCAGACTACCCCACCTAGCGCAATATGGAAATCTCTTTGTAAGGTTTTTCTAGTTGGCTGGGGCAGCAACTCCACCTAGATAAGATGTTTTAAGTGGGGTAAATTTTTGGGCAAGGTCAGAGATCTCTCCAATAACTTGTTATTTAATAATAATTTTTCTTATGATTGCTCTCTGGGTCATATCAATATGGGTTTCCAAGTACCTGGCTTCAATTTGGAGATTTATCTTTGTTTAGATTTGTGGTCTATTGGTTGAGAGGGGTTGGAATCTAAAATTAATGAAGCCAAGGGCATGGATTGCATTCTCATATGTATCATATAATTTTCCTTTGCTTTGTTGACCATAGACTGACTCCCCAGTCCTAGCTTTTAAAGTTGGATTGCCACTTAATAATTGTGTGGCCTTAGGTGAGTCACTTAATTTTTCTGGGCTTCAGTTCCCTGATTTATAAATGAAGGAACTTGACTAAATGACCACAAAGGTCTGAAAGAATTAATGATCCTATGGTCTTGGATCTTCATTCTGTGATCCTATATTGGCTTCCCAGATGGCCTAAAAGGTCTCATTCCCATAACTAAAGACACAGATCAAAGAGAATGTATGCCCTATGGAGTGTGGAATCAACAGTGTCATCTTCCTGGGTCACACAATCACACAATACACACAAAATGGAATTTTACATGTGGAGTATGTCATATGTAGAGAATGTCATATGTGAAAATATCTGTGGATGTATACTGGAGAATGGGTGCACCTTGGGTGGAGTGGGGTGGAGTGAGTGTCTGTATGGGTGTATATCTCTGTAATGTCTGTGTGAGGGAGTTTGTGTCTATATTTCTGCATGTCTGAGGGTGAGGTTAGGAATCCAAACACAGATCTATAGAATTGCAAAACTATGATGCTGGGTAGGGTCTTAGAGATTATTTAGCCTAACCTGCTCATTTTATAGGTGGGAGAAAGGGAACACCAACAAAAGGAAATGACTTGTTTAAAGTCACTTAAAGTTACTTAAAGTGACTTAAAGTCATTGGAACTAGAATACAGGGCCCCTAACTTCTATTCCTCAGTGTTCTTTTCATCACTTTCACAATATGTGGATACAGTTTGGTTTTAAGAATGGAACTGAGAGAGACAGCTAGGTGGTGCAGTGGATAGAGCTCTGGCCCTGGAGTCAGGAGAACCTGAGTTCAAACCTGGCCTCAGACTCTTGACACTTACTAGCTGTGTGACCCTGGGCAAGTTACTTAACCCTAGTCATCTAGCAAAAAAAAGAAGAAGAAGAAGAAGAAGAAGAAGAAGAATGGCCTGAGAAAACCAAGAAGGAGGAAAAGAGGGTGATTTAAGGGAATGTCTGTGGTCAACCAACCCTCAAAAAAACCTGTGAAGTGGCCTCCCTTTTGTCCCCTTTCTTCCCTCAGTGGCACCCAATGCTTCCTCTCTCCCTCCCTTTCTTCCTTTTCCTACCCCTCCTTCTCAAAATCTGCTCCCAGATCTTCCATTACCTCAAACCTTCTTACAGGGAAGTAAAATAATTTGATTAAACAAATATTAAACATGTTCAATGGATTTGAATTTTGATATGGATCAGAACCTTAAGCTAAAAATAGGGTTTGCTGATGGCAAGACTATTAGTATCGTCTAACATTTTGGGGGAAGATTTCAGTAGAGGAGGCAGGGTAATTTTCTGGGCCAATGTGGAGGACACGTAAGGCCTTGTGCTGTAGGTAGGTCTTTGATCTCTGTACTTTGTTAATGGTTCTCAGATTAAAATCTAAGGGTGATGTTGGTGCCCACTCCCTTCTTTTTTCTTTGCCCTCTCTAGAGCAAGGGCAAGCTAGCCTGGGAAATTTGCTTGACTTTGTTTGTTTGTTTCTTTTGGTGAGGCAATCGGAGTTAAATGACTTGCCCAAGGTCACACAGCTACTGCACAATTTGCTTTGCCCTGTTTGGGAGCCATAACCCTGTAAAATTTTGGTTCTCCAGTACCCCAGAGACTGTAAGCCAATGAATTATCATCTCAGAGATGATGAAGGATTAGTCAATAATAGTGCAGTCCTTGAAGCATGTGCAGATATTACTTGCCTTGTCTCAGTATTAGAGACCACGTGGGTCTGGAGCATGATAACTCAGGCACAGCACTACATGATGATGCAAAACCTTGTAACTCTCTTCAGAACTGGAAGGATTGATGACTCAGGACAGGTGAACACAGAACTGAGTGTGCATACAAAAGGTACAGGAAGCCCATCTTTCACTTTACTTCCTGGCTGGGGAGATGATGATGATGATAATTATGATGGGGATGAAGGTGAGAACTTATCCAAAGATAGAAAACTCAACGGGGTGATGATTCTGCTGAAGGTTACCAAGCAGCTACTTCTCAGCCTGATATAAACAAAAGAGAGGTATGCTATCTTCCCAGGACATAGACCCTGGATGTGACAGAGAGAGGCCCAAGAAATGGAAAACCTAACAACTAGTCCCTACCTCTAGTGACACATGAGGGGACTCATGATACCACCGGAAGGAACCTAGAAATCATTGCCAAGGATTATGACGTCTTGAGCAAAAACCTGTAGACCTTGGGGTCATGGATAGTGTCTTCATTACTGCTGCTGATTGAAAGTAGGCTATTCCAAAGAGTAAGACAGCTTCAAGATGTGAAGATAGTGATAAGAGCAACTGAACATTGATAACCCGGACCTGATTTTTCCCAACCAAAAAAATAATAGCTTGCATTTACACAGCACTTTAAAGTTTACAAAACACTCTAGAATGCAGCTCACAGGAGATCTTGAAGCAAAGGCTGAATGAAGACTTGTCAAGGAGTTTTAGAGAAGTTTCTTGTTCAGGTATGAGTTGGATTAGAACTGGGCTTCTTAAACTATTTTGTGTCATGGAACCCTTTGACAATCTGGGGGAATCTATGGACCCCTTCTCAGAATAACACTTTGAAATGGAAAAAAAAATATATAATACAGAGGATTGCAAAAGAAACCAGTTATGTTAGAATATATTTATCAAAAAAAATTTTGTAAAGATCACCAACCCTAGGATCTTTGGGCTAGATGGTCTCTGAGGTCCCTTTCATCTCTGAGATATTGCAAGTCTGTGAATTTATAGACTTTTTACAGACTTCCCAGCTCTTTTCTTTTAGAAATAAACCATACAAAATGTCTCCTCTCTAGTTCAGACCCTCATCATCTATCTCCTGGATAATTATCCAGAGTATGTAGTAGCTGGAGTCAGAAGGGACAGAGGTGAGTACGGTAGATGTTGGAACCAGGCCCCAAGATAGCGTGGCAATAATTGAAGAAGTTGAAAAGGTAATTAGGAATCTGGAGCAGCACATAATTGAGCCAAATAATTGAACCAAAATCTAAGAAAGCCCAGAAGCTTCATGTCTTGATTTGAAGATCAGTGAAGGTTTAGAAGAGAATGAAAGATATTAGAAATAAAAATAAAGACCAGGTTCCCTTGGATTGGCTTCCAGAAGGAATGAATGTTTTGGGGTTTGTTGTAGCGGGGATTCTTTTGGGGATATGGATTTGACTAAATGGCCACTAAGGTCACTTTCAAAGAATCTGTTTGATTCTGGATGGTCAACTACGTTGCCACCACCCCAACTCTGGAGGTATCCCAAGGTTCTCTCCTTGGCTAAGGATAATTAAATGACACAATAGTTGGTGCATTGGTCCTGAAGATCTGAGGCCAAATCGTCCCTCGGCTATTTACTAGCTGTGTAACCTGGGGCAAGTTATCTGTGCTCTCTCTGCTTATGTTTCCTCATCTGCAAAATGTGGATAATAATAGCCTCTACTTCGCAGGGTTGCTGTAAGAATAATATGTGAGGATGGGACAGCTGGGTGGTGCAGTGGATAGAGCAGTGGCCTTGGAGTCAGGAGGACCTGAGTTCAAATCTGGCTTTAGATGTGAAACAATCACTGGCTGTGTGACCCTGGGCAAGTCACTGAACCCCATTGCCTAGCCAAAAAAATCCCTCCAAAACCCAAAGAACATGTGATGATATTTGTAAAGTGCTTTGCAAACCTTAAAGGGCTACACAAATACTAGCTTTATTTTTAGGCCATATTTCCTTTCTTTCTCTCACACTTCCTCATCATCTTATACGGGTTTAATTATTAGCTCTATGCAGATGACTCCCAGCTCTATATATCTAGCCCTAGCCTGTCTCCTGAGAGCTAGTCCTATAGCATTGCCTATTGTGCATTTTGAGCTAGATGTTCTGTAAGCGTAGCAAACCTAACATGTCTAAAACAGAACTCATTATCTTCCCCCTCCTCCAACTCACCCTCTTCTGAACTTCCCTGTTTCTGATGAGGGTACCACTATCCTTCCAATCACACAGGTTTGAGAACTGAATGGCATCCTCAGCTCCTGTCTCTTACTTACCCCACATATCCAATCATATCCAAATGATGTCATTGCTGCCTCCACAACACCTTTTTGAATATAATCCCTTCTCTTCAAAGAGCCTCTACTCTAGCTGAGGGTCCCTGAATCTTTTCCCTGGACTACTGCAATAGCTTCCCTAGTTTGTCTTTCTATCTCAAGTTTCTTCCCTTTCCAAACCATCTCCTATACAGCTGCCAAAGTGGTTTTCCTAATGCACGTGTCTCATCATATTACTCTTCTACTCAATAAACTCCCCGTTACTTCTGGGATCAAATACAAACTTCTCTAACATTTGAAGCCCTTAACCACCAGCCCTCAATCTACCACTCCAGTCTTATCGCACATCACTTCTCTTCATGCTCAACTACCCAGCCAAACTAGTCTTCTTATTCTCCC